TTCCCGGTGCAGACTGAGAGCAGCAGCACATGGAAGTAGGAGCCCCATACACCATACTGTGGTGTAGGTGGGGGAATGGATCTCATGCCACCTACATATTGCATGCTGTGCAATAAATAAGTGGGCGGATTGAATGTCATAGATACAAACCACTCCTAAACTCTTTTCTGTCTGCACTCATATCTGTGCCAGCTGCTTCTCCACCTACCTAGAGGCCTTTTGGTTATGGAAACCCAAAACTCACTAAGATATTTTACTTCTGTAGAGATATACTGCTTACACCCACCTTTGAAACCAAGTAGATAACAGATGCTGTCCTGGTACCAAAGAGTGACCTGTTCTCTCAGGTGGGGAGCAGGCCCCTTTTGTGTTATTTATTGAGAAACACAAGTTGAATTAGCAAAGGCAAAGAATACCTTGCTGGATTTTTTGAGCTGGATAGATGCAGATGGAAATGACAACCAGTAACTCCTCCTCTCATCTATCATCTCTGGGAGCTTTCAGGGTTCACCAAAATGAATGGCTGGCCCAGATATGGGGCCTGTAGTAGCACCACGCACTTGGCTGGATGACATTCCTTACCTCCCTTTTTGCTAATATGCCTGTTGAGACTCATGTAGATAAAAACAGGTCTTGATATTCACTATAGTGTCTGCTTCTCCTTCCCAGTGATTTGCAGACAGGTACTTGCCAAGTGTCTAGTGACTCATTTATTTGGGAAAAAAAGACGGCCACAACAATACAATCTGCAAAACCACGCTTTTCCCACTCCCATGTAAGAAATATTTTTAGCAGCCACTCAGACATTGTGTAGAACAGCTATTTGCAACCTGCTTCTCCGTTTTTCCCTAAAGAGTGACGAATAAAACTGCAGGGGCCCAATTTCCATTACCTTTTGCTTCTTGTAGCCACCTACTCCATGCAAAGTAGGCGTGACACACTAGCCTGGGTCCAGAGATCTATCTTACTAGGCAGAGCTTGGGCAGATATGCATGGATCAGGCTGGTGGAGTTGCCAACACTGTCCTTGGCAGGATGCTGTAAACTACAGCTCAAGTATGCTAAGCTACTTTGCTGCTCTGTGGTCCTGGACCAGCCATCCATTTACCCACTGCAAAGCTATTTTAGTTGGGCTTTTTTAGCAGTTGTGAAATGCTGTACTGGGTGCTCTGAGGTGAGTAGCTGCTGTGTTACCCTGAAGAAGTTTTTGTAATTAAGTCCACTTGATCAGTTGAATCTTTACTAAGACATAGATGGACTAGATTCTAATTGAAAAAAAAAACGCAACCCAAAACCAACCAACCAACCAAAATAAAAACCACAACCTCCTCAAAAAATAACAAACAAAAAACCCCAACCAACCAACCAACCAAAAAAAACCCACCCCAAAACAGAACCAAAAACACCTCTACAAGCAAAGAGACCAAACTTTTGAATCATTGGTACTTACTGCTGAACGTAAGGTCATTGTCTGTACTCCACCAGTGCAGTACTTGTAGGCGGACTGGCTCCTCAGACGTTGGCTTTTGCAAGGCCATACTCAAACCAAGGAGCCCCTATAAGCAAGCCTATTCACAAGTATAAAGAGAAAAAGAGCTAGATTTTCTATCTTTAGTGCCACTTGGGTCTGAAAATCTCAGCAGTGCTCCAGAAAAAGCATTTATACTCTCATCTTACTAGCCCCAAGCTGAAGCACACAGCAGGTCAGGAGTTGCCAAAAAGCCACAATGTTTGTGAGTTGCAGAAATGGAGGCAAGAATCCCAGTACTTTGCTCTATACAGAGGCAGTAAAGGAAGGAGGCAAAGATGCCTGGGATGGATAAATGCCTATTACTCATAGCTGCCAAAAAGCATATTTGAGTTTCCATGATGGAAGAAGCTGACATCTCACAAACATATGAAGTATTTCCAGTGAAGGGCTGGTGTTAACCATGTCCTTGAGAAGCAAAATTTCTTGTCATTTCCCATCAAATTCTCTTCTACAACATGTCTGCCTGAATGCATACCTACAGTGCTCCTGATTTTTATTAGGAAGCCAAAAAGCTGGGATTTGTTTTCTAAATAAAAATCCTCCAACCCTCCACCATCTCACCCATATGCCACAATCTAATCAATACCTACCTCAATTTGAGCATCCCAACATCTCTCATACATGATGCTGAAAAGCCCTAGAGCAATTAATTGTTAGACATGACTATTTTTCTACTTGGGAAGAAAAAATTTATCAATCTTGGCATTCTATTTTTAAATAATAAATAGAAAATATTTATTTTACAGCATTTTCAAGATCGTTTTGACAAAAAGGCAGTTTTCATCAAGCATCTGACAGACCAAAAGAAAGAACTTTTACAGGAAGCTTCATAGCTCATACAACTACATACAGCAGGTGAGTTTTTGCTCTTTAGATATATATACGTATGTGTATGTTTCCAGTTTTAACACTTACAAACTAAAAGCTAATATACTGAATTTCAAGTAAACTACTCATGATATAATTACATTGCAGTAATAAAATCAGTGCTTAATATGTTCAAAACAGACGCATATGAAAACAGTATAGTACCTTGCCACATTGCTGTCTCCCCATGTATACAAATCTATTATGTTTCTTTTTCTTATCTACCTAATTTCTTCAAAGACCAGCTTCCTGTACCAGTTCTGTGCTTACTAACAATGTATAGTTTTGGAATCAGCACAACAAATCTTATACAAAGATTATAAGAAGGTAGAACCAGTGCCAGTGTGGTGATCAGCAAAGAAAATAAGATTTTTCTCATTGCTTTAATGAGTAATCAGCATTTTTAAATTCTTAAGCAGAAACAACGATAAAATTATCCCCCTAAAAGGCTCAACAGACAAAAATCAAGCAACTAACTCTCGATTGTCTTCAGTTCATTATAAAGACATCAATCTACTGACAAAGACCATATCTTTGGGCAAAATAATTTCATGCTTTCCACATGCTTTCCACAATGATAGCAATTGGCCACTAGTAATATTGAAAGGAGCAAACATCACAAAAACAGGATGAGGAAAAAAGATTCTATCTGGTTTTGAGCACCAGCCAGGCCTTTGAATACCACTACTGTATAATTAAAAGTAAAAAAAAGAGATTTGGATCTTGGGAGGAACTGACGACTGGCAACAGGATTTCTTAAAATTCATGTGGAAAGAAAGAAAATTAGTGGAAATAGGCTGAATTCAGAAAAACCCTGATAGAACACTCACAAGAAGCATGGTTAAAATCAGGTTTTGCAATTAGGTTAACATGAAGAGATTCCTTAAAAATATCTTCGGAAATAAAGTGTAGAACTGTGGGACATATCCTCATCTAAATTGAACAGCACAATCAAAGTTCATAGCAGCTAAAATCCTGTCCTGCATATGTATAATATATACATTTATAAATCGGGTAATGATAAGTATAATTAAGTTCAAGCCATAGCAATTAGGCCTGGACTTTGAACATGCTGGCTACTAGGGAGCTTTGGATTAGGCCCATCTCTAGGAAACACATGAGGAGGAGGAATGAATGACAGAAATACAGCTGCTTAGAAGTGACCTTTAAGATACAATATTGTGTATTAAATAGAAGATGTGAAAGCATATGGAAAGAACATGCAACTAAACATCATAAAGAGATTAAAAGAACTGTCTTTAAAAAAAACCTTGGAATTTATGCACACATTAAGCACTGATAAAATTTCCTGTCTGGACATAATTTTATTCTAAATTATCTGAAGCAACAGAATAGTTGAATTACTCTTCCTGTCTCACCTTTATACTGGCATGTGCAAGATTTCTAAATGAGATTTTTTTTCCTTTTTGTGTTTTCTCTTTTTTTTTTTTCATTAACCACACTTGCTGCAAACATGTAAAATAACAAGTTCTCAATGCACTGGTTATTAATACCATATTTCTACTTCATAAAATACCTGCAAAACAAAGCACCCTATTTTAAGGGTAGCAACTGTTTCAGCTCATATATGAAAAAAAAATGTTAGCACAGCATACAAACCTCCAAAGTTCTATTGAATATTTGTAACAATGTGATATAAAACATGATTTAAACATAAAAATATTCATAGTATATAAGACAATCTTCCAGTAGTAGTTACTGGACATTACACTTCACACATACCATACACACGCATACAGAAACACAAACATACTCTCACTCTGTTGCTTCAAGACTGACTAACCCTGGTATGGAATTGCCTTTCTTTCAGACTAATAGTTGTTGCTCTAAATATACAGCTATTTCAAATGTATTTGATTCCAAAGTAACACAAAGGAAAGATGTAATCACAGGGCAAATATGTTGCATTATGAAAAGTTAGTCAATAAATAATGTTCTGCTACAGGAAATCTTGTGTAACAGTTTAGCCACATGGTTTGCAATCTTATACAAAAGGGCAGTTTTTCTAAGTCCTTATCATATTACAGCAAAGTCTTTCTTCAGAAACCTCTTGAGTCTTAACTTGATCATAGTTATCACTCTGTTCACAATCATAGTTTTAAAAGCCCAGATCCCCCAAAAAGCAGCTTAGTATGAAGAACAAATTCTTCAGACAAAAGTCAGTAAGAGCCATGTGCTTTCACATTGTCTCAGGTCCTCTCTCCCAAACACATCATGCAGTTATACTACCTACAGACACCACGAAAAAAATATTTATGCCTGTATGTCTCATATACAAGTAGCTTTGCTCCCCCTCACCACACTCTGCCCTTCCAGATCCTGGGTGTGTTGCTTCTGTAGCAGATGGGCAGCAGTCATGAAATGTGCTAATGACCTCTCCAGGTCACACTTCCCAGAGTTCTTTTCAAGCATTGCCAAGAGAAGGTGTGTCTAAGTGTGATTTTTTTTCCTGTGTGTTTATTCATTTTTTGCTATAGAAGTTGTCTCTTGGGTTTGTGCTTTGTTATTGTTTCCTATCTTTTTCTCAAAGTACAATATTTTCAGTTTTAACAGCTAGAGAATGTTGAGCCCTCAGAACAGAATTTTTTCTTTTTGTGTCCTTTTAATTATTTAAGTGCAGGATGAAGTTTTTGCCCTGTCATATGTGACTTTGCGCATTCTCCCTCCAGCCCTTGGAGACTTGTCTCCCCAGGACCTCCCAATGGGCAGCTGCCAAAGTCCTTCTCGTCTTGTCTCTTGCAGTGTCTACAGGGTGGACGAGCTTTGTTTATAATCCCGCAGGATGACAGAGGCATAGGTCACATCTGGGGGTGTGCAGAGCACCGACTCCGAGACCGGGGAGCTGGGCACGGAGCTGCCTGAAACCACCGAATCCCGGAACGGGGATGGGGGTGTCAGTGCTGGAGAGTCTTCCAGAGTCAGTTTGCTGGTCACAAGCTCCTTGTCTTCCTTCTCTGGGTTCTTCTCGTAGACATATTCCTGAATGAGCTTCAGCTTCTCGCTCTCCGCTTCCTCGGCCGGGGGAGACAGGGCCTCCTCGCTGAAGGCAGCCGCTGGGAAAGGGGACAGGGATGGCTGCTGCGGTGGAGGGGGCTGGTATGGGGGCCGCACACCGTTCCCAGAGCCAGTCGTGGGGAGGACAGCATTGAAGTCGGGAATGCCGGTGGCAATCTTGTTGACCACTCCTTGCAGCTGGTCCATGAGAGACCGTGGCTGCAGAGGCAGGGTCTTGGGGGACTGCTCGGGCAGGAAGAGGTGGGTCTCCTCTGCCGTGTCCTGCAGTGGAGGGGTCGTCGCCACCCGCCTGTGCACCACCATGGAGGGGCTGCTGGGCTGGTTGAGGCGAACGGGCTCTCTGTCTTCTTCCTCCACATTGTACAGAGTCTTACTGCTGATGTCAGTAAAAGTCAGGCTCTTGCTCTGGCCATGGTAGCTTTTAGTGAGGGGTTTGATTACCGCTGTCTGATTGCACCCTGTTTCCTGGTTCTTCACATGCACTGAGAGTCTGTGCCAAGTGTGTTCTCCTTGGAGAGCTTGTCTTCCACCTGGTTCAGACCATGACACAGACTTTCCATTAGAACTATGAATAAAATAAAGATGGGTTTATTTTCATTTACATTACGCAGACATGGGCAGTATAACAAACAAGCTTACAAAAATACTGATTGCTTTGCTTCATTAATAATCCTCCCCCCCCCAGTTCTTTATCTCCTCCCAGAAACAATACTGCCTTTTAACAGCAGCAATTACTGTGATTTACATCCAAAGGCAATTACTCCATTCTGGTTACCCACCCTATAGCCAGCCTGGGAAGCCTAGCCTGTGGAAAGGACTCTAGGAGGGCCGGCTGTATCTAGGTTTGCTAACCCTACTTTGCAGGGGGGAGAAAAAAATGGGGAAAAAGTCACAGGAAGTGCTTTCATTAAGAAAGCGCTGGGTTCATTAAGAACCCAGGACAAAGCCTCATTTACAGCTTATAAGAAACATTTCCATACTGTTAGAAGAAAAACAACACACAGCCATAGCCTTTGGAATTCTGGGTAGGGAGAGGAATTGCTGCTAACCCCTCTTTTCCCTTTTATTCCCTGTCCCCGCTTTGTACTTCAGAAGAGATTAGCTATTGCAGAAATGAAGGACGCCAAGGGCCTCCATCAGGTAGGAGGCAAACACACTGCTTCCTGAGCAACTAATATTTACAAACCAGTATAAAATGCTGGGACTGAGAACAGTTGGTCTGTGTGGGTGGAGGAACAAGCAACGACACAATCTTGGTGAGTCGAACTCTGACTCTGCGTGCGGGCTGGATCCCATCAAAACGCTGGGCTGTTTGGCTGCGTGAGGACCTGAGGGCCAGGTCTGTCCCTGAGGAGCTGTAGTACTTTTGCATTTCCCTGTACCTTTGCAGGGAGCAGCACTTGAAGCAGAGTGATACCTCATTAGCAGCTTGGTGGGACAGGAAGCTGAGCGGTACTTAAGAAGACCAAACAATTGTTTAATTGCAGGTCGAGCAGTAGAAAACATTCACAAATTATAATACACATAAATATACCCGGGTGGAAACCAGGGAGGGAGAGAAGTTCTGAGATGATTTATGCGCAGCAGCCTTATCTCAGGGTTTCATCCCTCAATAGGCAGAAGTAAACAAAGGATTAAATTTCAGACCCTGTAATTTCAGTGCAGGTGGGAGGCAATCTGGGTGGGAGGCTGGCACAGCTGTGTTGCCTCCTGCTACTGCACGCATCAAGGGTGACTGCTCCCCTTGCATACAGCCTGCAGTATTGTTCTAAGTATTCTGTTTTTCCTTGCTCAGTCTCCTGCACTTCTCTTTTTCAGGGAGTAAATAATTCCCAGTTGAATTTTGTAAAAGAAAAAATAAAAATATCTAAAGACTCCTTCAGAGCTGGAAGACACTGATACAACACAGATAATGTAATCTGGCAAAGTGGGAAAGAAATGTATGTGACAATGTTGCACTTTCTAGCTGCGCAGTAAATATTCCTGGAGAAAAAAAGAATCTGAGATGGATCCAAGCTGTGAAGTTCATCTCCAACTCCAGGCTCTAAACACTGGACCTGTGACTCACCACTTCTGTGGGAACTGGCTCACAAGAAAGGGCCCATCTAAAATATTCATAACCCCCCAAAGCATGTAATCAGTAGGACCTGGAGCAATTTGGATTTAGATCTCTAATCTACAAGGAAAAACATCAAGTTCCCAGTTGAAGAATGAAACCTCTATATTATACTGATCAATGAAAATATAAGAATGAAGGTTTAAAAGCATTTCTGTTTTGATCAAAATGAGATGTGGTATGACATTTTTTGAAGTGCTATAGAGATAAGCAAATGAATGTAACTGTTGGGCGTGAAAGATTTTTACAGTAATATTTTAACATAGCATCTACAAACTCTTCACACAAGAACACATTTGTCTGCTTTAACTTCAAAACAAGTCTTTTTTTGTAGAGAGGAAAATAAGTCAAATGGTCTCGTATGTTGTTGATGCTAGAGCTTACAAATACTGCAAAGGGCTTTTCTAGAAAAATATAAAAAAAAACAAAACAAACAAAAAAAAAATAAAACAAAAAAGCAAACCGAACCATAATGATTATCTGCTGTCTCTTATGCTAAGTCCACTTCTGCATCATTTATTTCTTTACATCTAGCTCCAGTGCATCATCTCACTTTTGAATCTCTCTTCACACCATCTGTTTAGTCCCTATCTCATTTTGTTCCCAAGATTTTGTATTTTACATCAAAGGCAAGCACTGATATTTTAAGGAACTACTACCTCTGTCTTCAGCTCTTCCTCCTATTCAGTTAATTTTCCTCCACTTCACTCTGAAATTCTGCTCTTCTGACTTCTTTATTCCGTAGCGATCTCCATTATGTACTTAAGCAAGCCCAAGTCAATGACCATACTTAAACTGTGCTGGGACTGCAATACCCAAACATGAACAAACCACTTAATCAGGATTTCTCTGTTACTGGGGAAGGCTGGTGCTGCCAAAGCACCTTGGTTCTGCTTGCCAGACCTTACTCCTCATGACTCTGATGGCTTTGTGACAAACAGCTTTTGAGCTACAGTGGCTCTCTATAAGGTCAGTCTGGCAATTTTCACTGGGAAATCTCTGTTACTGTTCTCCTTAGTCTCATTCCAGCTCTTTCCCTCAACATGCTGTGTCCATGCACCATTAGCCTGTAAATATATCATGTTTGAGACAGAGTGACAAGTCCATCTTAGAAATACCTGTGTCCTGTCTTGCTGGGCAGCTGGTATGTGGCGACAATGACATTTACACATTTGGGCAGAATTAACATGCAAGAAAAAGGCCTCTTAAGCTGGAACAAACACCAGCCATCTTGAACGGTGTTAGCTGACATTTAGACAAAAAGTGAAGATGGGCCTGGAAAAGCTCAAACCTGAAGTGGGTCTCAGTGAGACAGGAGTCAGCTCACTTGTGCAAGTGATGACGACAAACCTGACTGCATGTGGGATGCATGGTCACCATTTGCTAAGTGATCGTCATCTTCTTTTTTTGAAGGAAGCATCCATGGGAGAAGGTGAAGATCCAAATAATCTGCCTGATATAATGGAAGAAGGGCTGATTTTTTTACACAAAGGCAGGAGAGGGCACCAAACCTGATCACAGCTGAGGTGTTGAAAACGTGATGTTCAATTGCACGCGACCAGGTGGGAATATTTCATGTTCATCAAGTATTTATTTGCCTTTCCTAGCTTTCTCTCTTCTTTATGCAATTTCCCATAGACTTCACACTTGCTGCCTAGAAGTGAACTCCTTGGAGCCTCAAGGGATCTTAAGGTTTGTAGCTGTGTATACCCAGTGTAGCACTTCAAGTACTATTTATTCAAATCTTCGCATCTAGTCTAAATGTTCAGACAGGTTCTTGGATTTCCTGCATAAGATAGGTTTACTTTTTCTCTGTAGGCAATGACATTCCTCAAATTTAAATGCTGTTTCTCAATTTTCACCACAGTTTTGTCTAGGGTTTCCATATTTTGGGGAAATAGGCATAAGTATATTTCTTGTGTGAATTTTTATTAGTTCCATGACGGGATCTGTTGCTATTTTTCTAATTCAAAGTGTTGTTTTTAATACATGCATCGATTTTTACAACATACCCTCTGCATGACTCTGGGGCAGTCATTTTCAAATACTTTCAGCTTATGATTATAGACACTAAGGAAGCTGAAAAACAGCTTCAGTCCTGAGTAGTTACTTGCAGAAAGTCTTTAAAAGAACTGAGGTACCCAGGTCCGAGACTGTGGTCCAAAATACCCCTGCACAGCTATAGGACATGTCTGGTCATGGAGAATTAGATGAACTCTCAGTCCTGTGTGCCTGAACCTGTCTTTTTTGTCTTGAACATTTTATGCATAACAATCTCTAATTGATACCACATGAAATGATTAAACAGTGGTATGTCTCTTATTGAGGTTAAAGCAAAGGAAGCAAACAAAAGCATCCAAAGCACCTGTGCATTGGTCAAAACCTATCCCAGCCCAAACAGCAGTTGCTGATGGATGCCATCTTAGGGAATCCAGCAGAGGAATTTCTGCCTTGCCCACAGTAGTGCAGGTAGCCATCCACAAATTTTCTCCAACCCTGCAGCCACATAAAAAGCAGTAATGAGCCTGGGAAAAGCTCTGTCCTGCTGCAGCCTCACTGTTCCTAGGACCCAAGCTAACAAACTAAATTTAATACTAGAACCCGCACTGCAGTGTGTTGCAGGTGCTTTGCTGGTATCCGTAAGGTCTCTTCTATTATTGTCTCCATTTCAGTAAGGCCACGTGGGCATTAAATGTAATGCCTCAACATATTTGAAGTCCTACAACTTTAGCATGTACCACATGTACTTGCCTAGCTCAACAAAGAATATTATACTGACAACGTGTATAAAGGGCAGCATTACAAAAGCATTATAATTGCTACTATAAAATTTAAGTATCATGTGAAATATAGGAGCTATGGCACATTTCAGTCATCCATCCAATTACTAGCAAAAAATCTTTGATTCACCACTCTGGTCTTTAAGTATTTTGAAAAAAAAAAAAAATCAAATAGCTACTATTGTGTTGCTTAGAGAAAACAACTTATTCCAATAGATAATACTAAGTTCAGGATAATAAACAGTCACAAATAGCAAGCAAATTCTTTCAGTGTTCAAGTAATGAAGATCAGAAACCTGCAAATCAAAGTGAAATTAGAAAATGCTCTTACTAGTGAATAATTTTTGAATCTGTTTGTTATTAGGTAAACCCCACTGATTATTCAGAATGAATACATCCTACTGGATCACCTTTGTGATTTTTTTTAAAGGATTTTAAAGTTAGTGCACAGAAAAAGCATGGTGCAAATCATCATAGATGCTCTGATTTCAATGGAGAAGCACATATGTGTTATCTGAAGATGTGTCTCATGCTGCACATTTGAATCAATATATATGACAGTGCAGTCAATGACAGTACTTGAACTAAAGCGTTTATTCAGATGGGATCAAAAAGGAGCACAGCTAATAGAATGTGAAAACTGAAAATTACAGTATTTTGAGCAAAGGG